TCTCTCTCTCTCTCTCTCTCTCTCTCTCTCTCTCTCTCTCTCTCTCTCTCTCTCTCTCTCTCTCCCTTGTATTGTGTGATATGTAATGCCTTGCAGGGCGTGCTAATAATTGCGTGTTAATCATTTCTCTCGTTCGCTCGCTCACTTGCTCTCTGTGTCTGTGCTTCTCATCGACTGAGGTACCATGTCTGTCTAGGAGACATTGGTCCAAGTCACTGCCAGAGGTGGCACACATAAAGTATAGGGTGTACTCACTGGCGTTGCCAACTCGCAGTCAGTGATAACCATGAAGTTTTTCACCACCAACATTATTTGGCACTAAAAGAACCGGAACCACCGCAAGATCCAGTGACGACCTTGAGCCCTGGTCCACAAGAGCCTCAACCATGACCCGATCCACCCCTCGTGCTGCGATATTGCACTCCACTGCCATCTACATGCCATATTCATCTGATTCGACAAAAGGAAGAGTGGATACTGCTAGTTCTTCACGTGTTCATTGGTCCCTACATCGTCACGGACAATATTTTCATTTCTTTTTAATGCTGATGTGATGGCCAGGCAGTGCACATGCTCATGCAGCATGGCCACCCTTCCAAAACAAGAGTAGGGATGCATGCATCACTTTATGCAATTGAGATGCAAGTGTGGGTTCACTGCAAGCAGGACCCTCACATGGCGTGTATAGCACCACATTGACCTCTCTTAGTGCCCCTTAGATCATCACCATGTGGTTCAGCAGATGGGTACTGTAAAAGCTATGGGTACTTCCGCAGCGACTCTGTAGTACAATGAGACATCTTGCAATCTGCATTCATCATTGAGGCTGAGAACTGGTGCCTTTGTGGCAATGTGCTCCTTTCCGGAAATACAGGGGTAGATTAACAGACATGGACTAGTCCAATTTGGTGGGATTTAGGTTATTTCTGACTTACGGCCTCCTGGTCGTATCTTCTGTTTCGAGAATAGAAACAGAGGGTACAATGACGTTGTACTTAAGAAGTTAGTCACTAGATTTGGGCAAGTGGACTTAAGTGCTCCAGATATTTTCGGTTGAAGTACTCTATCGGCCACAATGGCACAACCCCTCTGCATTGTATTCTGTTGTGCTTCTTCCTTCTACTGATCCGGCAGATAGATTTGGATACCATTTATATAGCTGACTGGCTACGGTCGCCACCCTGTTCGCTGAGTCTCTTTGTGCTCACAGCGTTATAACCGTTGGATGCTCATCTGGGCAGTGGAGTTCCAAAGTTGAGGCCGTGAAAAACTGTATTTCTTGCACTCTTTTTGTTGGACAAGTATGCTTTTTCTTTACGTTGCAGTGTGAGTGGCTTGATATTGTTCAATCCAATTTCATCTTACATTGTTTGTTCAAGTCATGCCAAGCTGTACTCAGTATTAGCCGATGCGATTTCGACCTGTGGCAGTGCAAATTTGATAGCACTCGCCAATGAGCCGCCATCACAGAAGCAAAAGGGGAAAGAAAAACAACTTAAAGGGTGGGAAACGTAGCAGGGCAGATGGGTCCGATGGCCGAAAAGGAGACATGCTGCCGCAACTGAAAGTCCTGGGAGTACCTAGCCCCACCTGTTGATAAACAGACCTAAGCTCCAATCCTGATGAGATAAGGTGAATCTAATAACTCTGAATAACTTCACTCAGTCCGTAAGTTCAGTGACGAGACCTCATCATGTTTAAACCACCACTAAGACCCCCAGGCAAATCTTGTAGCTGTAAAAATATATCCTGCAAGTTTTGGATCAACAGTATGAGCGGACCAAAATGGCTGGTGCTGCCAGCCAAAACAAAGAGACATTGTGACCGTGGTGGTTAGTTTTGTTTCGGCGTGCAGTGGAAATCCACCACGGGAAAAAGAGGCTTGGAGGTGGTGGTGCGGGGTTTCACTGGATCAAGTGACCAGTTTCTGAGACAAGAAAAAGGTGGGGCGGCAGAGCTCAAGCTCTTGCAGGGCCAGAAACAAAAATGGAGGTGACCTAAACAAAAATCGGCAGTGACGGAACCCACAACACAGAAGCCGCGGCAGCGCAGGGATCCACTGGCATGGGCACCACATCCACGAGCACCCGCACTCATCCACATGCAACAACAGACACACTCACGCCCACACAACACACGCACGCAAACAAACACACAGACCCTCACAGACTGATATCTAGTATCTACCTATAGACACTGAACCTAGGCTTCTATCAGCCTACGTTCAGGCCCTGAACCATCACTAACTTCTGGATATGTACGAGATCCCTCCATGCCCAACCGACTTGCTGGAAAATCCCTACCGGGCCTCTAACAAATTCTACTTTTGTTCCTGACGGACCTGACCTCTATTCTACCCCCAATATATCCCTACCACTAACTTTCCGTCCTGTCCTACCCCTGTTTCTACCTTGTCCCTGTCCTATGCACAGACACATATCACGGCCAACAGAGTTGGCATACACAGCGCTTCAGACTGGAACACAGAAATCAGCAGGAAGCACACAGCATGTATATATCAGCAGCAGATCACATTCATACTTAGAAAACACAGCGAAACACACTCAGACTCGGAATTCTCAGCAATCAGATCAAAGGCAGAAACGTTCTCACAGAAAAGTAGATTTCTCAGAGCGGAAACTGCCAAGGTGATTTTACTGTCGTCTCCAATCTCGTCTGACCCGTTTTGACATAAGGTAAATACGATAAAAGAGGAAGAGCTACAATCAACATGGAAGCCTATGATGAACAAGCAAGCAACAAAGTTCACCCCCGAGTCGCCTATGTTTGGTTCTAATCTGCTGTTGTGTATTGAAGTGTGTGATATGAATCATATGATACCTATCCAAGCAAATATCTTTCCATAGCGTTGCCACACTTGTAATGCGTCTGCTCACTGCCCAGTTCTCTGAGTAAATGTGCCATGACCCATGGGTCAATCTGACTTTGATTTTCTCTGCAGTTTTTGACTGACACCACACCGGACACCCTGTTTTTACCATCTTGATTCAGGGGAATGGTTTGCGGATTCATCGACTTCATTGCAAGACCCATGTTCACAATTCTAACAAATTGGTTACCATCAACGAAAGAAACCCTTCTCCCAGTCCTGGAGGACAACTACAAGCGATGGTCATCTTTCCAGAACACCACCAAAACCAGCTGCCAGGTACGCATGGGTTGGTTTCGGAGGGAGTGAAGGGGGTATGGTATCTGCATCAGTAACACTAATACAATTTATTCTGCTGCCACATTGTCACTGATGTTTACCGTCTCCTATCTAGTTAAGAATCAAAGAATGAACCATTCAAAACATTCATCGCAAATGGGACTGCCATTACCGTCTTCACCTGGTCATTATAGCGGTTTTTGGGGCAATTATCTTCCAGATGCAACAACAATGACTGGGTGTTCTATTCGGGTGAAGACAGTAGCACAAGTGTTTGTTGTGCTCATGGCTTCCCACGTGCCGGTTGTTGAGTAGGAAATGTTTCGCTGCCATTCGGCTAATGCACCCTGATACCAGTGATAGGTGATTTTATTTTCTTACATAATAATGCAGTCTTATGGCCACACCTCGATTCCGTTCTGTGGATCATTTCCCCAGTTCACCACTCAGATGTAAGTTGAGGCAATCCTGATGAACCCTGAACTCTCACTCCTAATGACAACCCCATGTGATTCCGAGATAAGGGTCACTTCATGTTTTTCACGTAGCCCATCATCCTATCCCCTTTTTGGGACTAGGGCCACCCCATATGGTTTTCTTTTTTGTTTTGAATTTTTAAACAAGACTGTAATGCCGTTTATGGTCTTAGGTATTCTTTCTTGTATACTATTTAATGAGTCTTTATATAAAGGGAAAGTCGCCTCTCGCATAACGCTCCCACGAGGGCTGGCTACCAGTGTTGGGAAAACGGCGAGAGGGGCCGAGCCCAAGGAAATCTCGCATCATTTCCTTTTGCTGCCTAGCACACTACTCTTTATGAAGGGAAAGCTGGGAGCACATTGCGCTCCCGCGAGGCCTGGCTACCAGTTTTGGGAAAACGGCAGGAGAGGGGCCAGGCCCAAGGAAATCTCGAATCGTTTTGTTTTCTTGCCTAGCGCAAGTCCTCTGCAGCATAGTCATTAGTGCTGCACGTTCGGATATAACTACATAGCAGTCCCGCACTTGCATCGCCCACTTTATTTTTGTCCTTTTCTCCATTTGTCGGTCCTCTAACGAACTCGGGAAACGCATATTGAACCTCGAATCCAGACGCAAGCCAATGGGCCTCCCTCCACTACTTACCAAATGTGCAAAATGAGAATGAATCTTCACTAGAACATGGAAAGATACACCACTGTATTTTTTGCCTTTTGTGCACGTGGTGAGTAGCGGAGTGAGGTTTAATGGCAGCCCTGCTGCATGGGAAGAATACCTGCTAGCTCCACTTCTCACCATAGATGCACAAAAAGCAAAAAATTATAGTGGTGTATCTTACCATGTTCTGGTGAAAGATTCATTCTCATTTTGTACATTTTGTGAGTAGTGGAGCGAGGCCCATAGTTGAAACCCTGGCGTGGTTTCAATCCGTTTTTGGAGTGGTTCCGATTTTTTTTTTCTTTTGTCTGTTCGCACCTCGGTCGCTAGACTCATGCGCTTTTGAAATACAGGCCGAAAGCTCGATCCAGATACGTGGAAAATGAGAATGAATCTTCTGCTAGAACAAAAGTATGGGACGTGGCCATGTTCTTTGTCTTTTGTGCATGTTGTGAGTAATGGAGCGATGCCCATTGTTCCTGCTGAAATACAGGCCCCTAGCTGGAATGCAAGTGCATAGGATCACTCCTCTGAGGGAGGCACGGAGACCCACATGTTCAACCCACAGTGTGGCCTGTCCCGCTTGGGGCCGCTTGGTCCAAAACTGCCGTATATATGCAGGGTTGGACCTGTCCAGCGGTTGAAGAAGGAGATGAAGGAAGTTGAGGAGGCTAGCAGGAAGGAGGAGAGGAGGCGACAGTTAAGCAAGGAGGTTGAGAAAGTTGTTACCAGTGGTACCTCCAGTCAGTATAGTAAGGATACTGCTGAGTTGGTGCTGTTAACAGACACCCTCGACAGGTCTGACTTTTCTAACTGGGATCGGCGGATTCTCGCTGTAGAGAATCAATGCTCTGCCATCGACCGCAAGGTCGATAAGCTGACAGCAAGCCTTGATTCCCCGACAGCGAGTGTCAACAAGATTCTGCAACATCTGAAACTTCCTGTACCTTCTCCCCAACCTCTTCAACCTGTCCCAGCATCCGTTTCACCATCCCACAGTCGTCCAGCTTCACCTGCTGGTTCCCATGTGTCCACTACCTCTGTTCCCTCTGGCACATCCGATCAGCGGCAGCCCAAGCTGACACCACCTCCAATGTATTCTGGGGAAGACCCCAAGGTGGATGTCTCAGACTGGGTTACTGCTATGCAAGCGTACCTCGGCAGCTTTGTTTTTCCAGAGGTGACAAAGGTAGGGACCATTCTGGGTCGTCTGGAGAGAACTGCACTGAAATGGTGCACCTCCTCTGCAGCGAAACAGAATCTGCCCATGGACAAACGGGTACAGCAGCTGAAGGTGGAGGGGTTGCTGCAGGCCCTGCGGGACTGGTTTGCCCGAAAAGCAGCAGATAAGATACTGCTGCTGGGCTCACACAGATTTGAGGGTTCCCTGTCCAAGCTCTACAATTTGTTTGAGAGCTTGACTGCAACACCCGGTCTAGAGATGAGTGAGTCTAACCAGCTCACCCATTTCCTGCGTGCTGCGCCTCCAGACTACTCCATTGCTCTCTACTCTCAGGGCCACAAGGACTGGAGGTCCTTTGGCAAAGTGGCCCTGGACCTGGAGTCTCGGCTCAAGGTTCAGGAACCTTCTGAAGGAAGAAGGAGACCCTTTTCCAGGGGACAGCGCAGGAAGAAGGGTGCTCTATTGGCTGCTGATGCAGGTTCTGATTCTGATGCATCTCAGCCTAGCAGTCCTCCATCTGAGACTGCATCAGTATCAGCAGTTAAGCCAACCGTTCTTGCCCTAGCTGAGAACCTTGCTGCTATCTTTAAGGGAAAGACTGGCAATAGCAGCAACAAGGGCTCAGCCAGTCAGAAGGGCAAAGGGAAGGGACGTGACTCTTCCCCTCAGGCCCAGTGAGCTAATCTGCCATGAGACGTCCATTGGCCAGTTAACGTCATGGATCCTTCCACCCTTCCCTGGAGAGTCCTCAGGATCCAGGAAGGGCGATGGCAAAAAAGGAAGGAGCGTGAGGTTTGTTTTCGTTGCGAGGGGGACCACTTCCTGGACTGTCCCCACATGCCTCGCAAACCTGGTTCTAGTTCAAAAAACTAGACCAGCAGAGGGAAGTGGAGTTAGCAACTCCCTCCACTTGTGTTGATTCAGATTCTGACGAGTCTGAATCTGCATCTACCCTCACTGACTCGGTTGGAGTTGCTGAGTCAGGATCCTTCACTTACGTGGACCCCGACCTGGATGAGACGTGGCAGGAAGATGACTGTCAGACTTTGATATTTTCCTGTCTTTGCAGGAAAAGAAGAAGCATAAATCAGACCTCATCTTACTTCGACCCTCCATCTTGGGAGCCAGGATCAAAGGCCTACTAGACTGTGGGGCTACGAGAAACTTCATCTCTCCCAAGGCTGTCAGCAAGCTGCATCTGGATGGGAGATTAGTGAAGTTGCAGCAGCCGCTGGAAGTCCGCATAGGGGACTCTTCCACAGTTCGGATTACTACTGTTGTCAAGAACCTACCGGTTATCTTTGACAAGCAGGAGAAGGTCAGGCAACGCCTGAACTTCTATGTTTTCCCTAATGTGCCTTTTGATCTTATGTTCTCTATGCAGTGGCTTGAGGCCACTAACCCTAGGATTGACTGGCAGATCCCCAGGGTAGAGCTCCCTGACTGTAGAGGGGACTATCAGCCTTGTGTGCTAGTTGATGAGTACCATCCAGTCAGCAGTTGCTATTGTCTGAGGGCACACGAGTTTTTGCAGCTCTCTCGCCAGACTGCCCACACACGTCTGTTTGTCGCATATATGAAACAGACTGGTGTGGATGTTGCTCCTTGTCCCTCACCGATTCAGCAGGTTTTGGACCGGTATCCAGACCTGATGCAGGAGCCTACTGAACTTGTCCATAGGCAGACCCAACACAGGATTGAGCTCCTGCCAGGTGCGGTTCCTCCCAAGGCCTGTATCTACAGGATGTCCCCTGCTGAACTCGATGAGCTCAGGAGACAACTTGAGACCCTGACCAGCAAGGGCTGGATCAGACCCAACACATCTGAATTTGGGGCTCCAGTTCTCTTTGTTCCAAAGGGAAATGGAGAATTCAGGATGTGCGTCGACTACAGGGGTCTCAATAAGATCACTAGGAAGTCTACAGAGCCCCTTCCTAGGATTGATGATCTGCTGGACATGGTGCAGGGTTGCACGATTTTCAGCAAGATCGATCTCAAATCTGGCTAYCACCAGATTGAGATGGCTGAAGGCGATGTCCACAAGACTGCCTTCAAGACCAGATATGACACTTATGAGTACCTGGTCATGCCTTCCGGTCTTTGCAATGCCCCTGGCACATTCTAGACAGAGATGCATCGCATACTCAGGCCTCACCTGGACAGGTTTGGAGTTGTGTACCTAGATGATATCCTGGTATTCAGTCGATCTGTCGAGGAGCATGCGCAGCATCTGGCTCTGGTTCTCCAGGCACTACATGAGGCCAATTATAAGATCAACAGGGAAAAGTCCTCCTTTGGAGTGACTTTTGTGACTTATCTGGGACATGTAATCTCTGGGGAAGGGCTGGCTCCTGAAGCAACAAAGGTTGCTGCGATTCAGGACTGGCCACATCCTGCCACAATGCGTGATGTCCGGTCATTCTTGGGTCTTGCTTCATACTACAGAAAGTTCGTCAAGAACTTTTCTGCTATTGCTGCACCCCTGACTGACCTTACAAAGAAAGACACCCACTTTCTTTGGACATCAGAGTGAAGCCAATGGGTAGGCTGAAGTGATGAACCAGATTCTTTTGCAGTTGCTGCGTCCTGTGATCAGCCCTGGTCAGTAGGATTGGGATCTCCATCTAGGACGGGCACAGCTAGTGTACAACACATCTGTACACTCCTCCGTAGGGTTCACCCC